CCCCCCCCCCCCCCCCAGCTTTTTTTATTCTTTCTTCGAGACTTAATAAGGGTCTATAAATTAAATTCAACCATCGTCTAGATCAGATGATGATATGCTTGAACTGGCTTGATAACCCAATAACATCAAGTACAGTACATCCTGTACTGTAGTGATGTGTTACAGTATTATGTTACAGTATCAAACATGTTTGGGCATGCATAGCGTTCTGTATGCTAATCTCCTGGACAAATACCATGCTTGGACCCTTTAGGCCTTTTAAAAGCTAAAACAAACCTAATCTTAATACCTTTATTCTACGTTATCAGAATTTCAATTTTCTTCAACAAATATCGAAAGAATAAGAAAGTTTTACTCGCGAAACCATTATCATTTTTTTTCAAACTCTTCATTCAATCAGAAAATGTTTTCTGGAATAGCACACGCAAGATGACATGTTGTATAATATATGTTGGTGTTTGACATATGGTGTGACATTTGTAACGCCACGCACAATGCACAAAATGCGCAGCGTGACATTTGTAAATAGTTCACTCCGCACAAGATCACACAGCGTGATATGTGACAGTGTGACGATGTATTGTGACATTTGTAAAGCTGCTTACATTGCAAGAGGTGCGCAGGTATATGTGCAGTGCGATAAACATAACATTTGTGTAACGCATGCTGAACAAGATATCAAATGACGTGACGCAGTATGATATGCAACGTGATTCAGTATGATGTGCAGCGTTACACAGTAGTGTTGCAACTTTAACACCTTACACAATGCACGCACGCCGTAGCATATGCAGTACAAAATGGATAGCCAGCACACACATCGCACCATGCGTGCACTGATATAATATGGTTATCGTGTCATAACTATCTTTCCGTTGTGCGAGCCAACCACAGGTATTCCCATCCCTCGTACTAACCAAGTCTGTACTGGAATCACAGAAGTTGTGGAATTATTATTCACATCTGAGTAAGCGGTAGAATGTCGAGTAGAGCCAAACCATTGTGAAACACCTGCACAAACAGTAAAGTATTAATGGTGTGACAAAGTACAACCTTCAAAAACACTTTCACATTTTATCAAATCCTGAAACGGGCTTTGGGTTGATCAAAATCAATACTCAAGGGAATGACATGTGGTCTGAATTAGAAGAGCAACGAGCTTACTAAAAATGAAAATAATAAATCAAATGCATTAATACGATGGGTAACCTGGGTTACAAAGGCTCTCTCGCTCCAGTGCTAGTTATGAAACCTATGACTGAGAAGCACTGGAACGCGTCTTTGGAATCCAGGGTATCCAATACGCAATGCTTATCCATTTCAGACCACGTGTCATTACCAAGAGTATAATTTCTTTGTTGAACGGTTGCACATGAAGAGAAACATGAATATGGATACAACTCAAACAAAGAAATATATTCTCAAGAAATTGTCTCGCGATCTGAAATGAGGAAACATTTCACCCGAAATCGAAATTCACCTGTTGTATTGCTTTCAAGAGATAAAGCCTTGCGAACATGGTAGGGAAAAGGTGAGGTCGTGGCTCCTATGGAATAGACACACACGTTAAGTTACTTCAAAACTGTTCAGAAGCATCGTGGGGTTCCTTGGGTAAGAACATGGCTTCCTCTGACTGAATAAAATCCCATGGTGCATTGCGGAACGCTGCAACCTCGCGTTTTATGGAACCATTTTTTATAGTTTAATTTCAGTTCCCCTTTCGTGTTTATTAGTAGCAGGATCTTGTACTTCCTCGAACTATAAGAACTAAAGATGAATATCTGGCAATACTTGAGGCAACTTCAATAACATGCTTCTAAATAACAGAATTGTATAACAGGGAAACATGTATGTTTACCCCTAGAACGTGAACGCGTCTGTAGTAAGAACTAAAATCGTAGCTCAATCCCTGCAGGAAGCAAGAAATCTTGTTGATATTTGTAGTCATGACTCCACCACTCTGGGGCTTTGCTAGCAGTCCCTGGATTGACTCGCGTACTGTCGAGGGAAATGTCATAACATAGCGCAACAACAGACCCCATTCTTCCTGAAATAAAACAGATAGACAATATATCTCTTAACCTTGGTTGTAATGTTTTCTCCTTTTTAACCACATTCTCTAGAATATCATTACTTTGTCGAACGGTTGTGTATAAGAAGACACATGAATATGGATACACAATACACCTCCATTCTCTAGAATATCATTACTTTGTTTAACAGTTGCGCGTGTGAAGACACATGAATATGGATAGAAATCAAAAAATAATCTTATTTCAAGAGAATCACATGTGGTCTGAAATGGGAAAACATTACGCCCAAGGTAAAGAGGTTTATTGATTGTGTGTTCATTAACGTTATTTAGAATCAAGACACGCAGAACTTCTAGACAGAGAATGATACGCAATAATCGACACCACACGTAACAATAGCGATGAGATGACTTGCAGATATTAAACTGTACTCTCCATCGTAGCCTTTATTCGTGGCTATATCAGACCCTCCCTACTAGTGGACAGACTAAGAATGACACTAACGGCTGGCAAGAAGACTACTAACTGAGACCAAGAAGAAGGGTGAATATAGATAGATAATGGAGATATCGTCAAGGGATAAGAAAAACAGGGACGCCTAAGGGATCGTAATGAAAGTTTACTCACGTCATCTCGAAGCAGACTGAAGTCTATTTGCTCGATTGGTGGCAGAGGAGGATAGAGTCCTAGCGAGGAATAACAAGCTAGCGTCAATACAGTAACCATTGTTAAACAGACATTTTAATTCCCAGGGCAAGTGTGGTCTTGATTGACACGCACAGAACAAAACTGAATGACCAACCTTTTGTTACACTCTGCTCATAGTGCTCAAACAGCTTGGATAATCTTGCACAGTTATACATGACAAAAGTGGCTTGCCGGAACTCCTGCGCGCTGTCTGATACGTCCAACTTTATCTGAAAATGAAAAATGAATAACACTGGTTCCACAGAAAGGCTTTTTCCCACCACAACCAATTGAATTTTAGATGAATGTTTTCCAGAGGGAGAAAAACTGGAAAGCTTGAAGGAAAAAAAAAAAAGGAAAAAATAGAAGGGAAAAGTGAAATACCTGATTATTTTGGGCAGCAGCCATGATCTGTAGTTTAATGGTAACAACGGCCATTGCAGTGATTGATTGCTCCCATCCTGGTCCTGTCAAGGGGAATATGCCTGTTAGTGACATCAAAAATACTCCTTCTAGTAATACCTACATACACAGGAAGTCCAACTGAACGAATATAAAATTAAGGTTTTACTCTGGAAGTGACGTCACAGCCGCCATCTTGGATGTGACATCAATACTTCAGTTTAGAGTTTCTTGTTGCTCACGGTTAGCCTCGATTTTGTGCAGGTCCGTGTAATTTCAAAGAGTTTGTATTGTTGATATTGTGCATTGTTTACTTTACCGTTGGTATTTGTGAATGTTCTGATGTTGAAATCGGAGGCCGGTGTTGGTTCGCCCTGAGTAAATGAGTCTATAATCAAGGAACGTAGCGGTATTGTGCTAATTCGAAAATGGATTCGGGTGAGTCAGTAAAGGTAAGGCTTATCTCTAGCTTCCTCCGATGGCAAATATTACGTTATCCTATTCGGAAGTCCTGTGTTGTGTAATTTTTGAGGAGAAGGAGGACTGTGAAATGCCATCCCAATCTCGTACCCAGTCCTTCAGCGCTTTCCTGTTAGTCGCTAGCCCGCTGAGTAAAACGCCGGAACACTTTGGGCTCAAATTGATCTTTTTCATTGTTACACAGGGAACACAAGCCCAACGCCTAACGACATCCGAAACTCCATCCACTATGAAAAAATAACAAATAAAGCACAAACACAAAATCACCGAGAAAAGACAATAAAAACCTAGCAAATAAAAAATAATAATAAATAAATAAAAGGGGGGGTGGGGGGAGAAAAGAAAAGTAAAGAAAGAAAGAAAAGACGACCCACATTTTTATTTTTTATTTTTCTCATTTGTCAGTAATATTTTTTGAATTAAAATACCTGGCTATTCGATAACAGCCATTTCTCATATTACATTCATATATTGCAATAACACAATATAATACATATAAAGCAAGCCTTGTTAAATACATCAATATCAATACCACTATCAAGAGATATATGTCATAGTTATTGAATGGCAATCAAAAGAAGAATGAATATTTTCAAACATAAATATAAAATTAGGGGATAACTTTGCAGATATTTCAGTTAATATAGCCATGATATAAACTACTAAAAGACAGCTGTAAAGATATCCCATGATTTTTCCCTTTCCTTTTTTTTAAATATTCTTTGAAGAACATTTTTGCAGTCGACTGTATAACTGTAAGGTATCTAAATTAATATAACTCGTCGTCTTATATATGTTAAAATATCAGGAAAATATTGTAATTTTTTTTTTGAAACACGACAATATTAGAAATAGAGGGGAGCGTAGTGATTTGCGTATTCGAAAAAAATTTCATGTACTTTTTCAGATTTTTTTTTCCAGTTTCATCGAGAAGTGCAGATTTTTTGCACTATAATATTTTCGATTTCCTTTGCAGATTATCGTTTTTTCCTGCGGTTTTTAGCACCTCCACGTCCCTCAAAATAGAAGAAAAAATCAAAAATATACCACCCCTCCCCTGATAGTCTGTCCTTTTCACAGAAAACGTTTATATCGTATTTTCTACATAATAGACCCAGGGTATAGGAGAGATGCATACCAGTTAAAAATTGATCAATAGGAGCCTTGATACATCTAAATTCTATCGACTAAAAACGAGCAAACTTCGTTTTCTTCTCGTATTGCTAACAAATTTTCATTCCACCCATCTTCTGAAGTCATGCCGATATGCGGTCTTACAATGCGGCGTTTTCAAAAAAAATATTTCAATTGATCTTTTCCGGTGATTATTAAAAAAGCTAGTCTATATTCTTTATCGCTAGCGCTTTAAGCTTTGTAAGAATTGAATACCTTTCTCTTTAAAAATAGCATTTTTTCTTTCCTTCAAAGTCTATAGCATCTACTGACAAATTTCTGTTTTAGTCCCTGGATTTTGTCTTGTATTTTTCTTTCATCGTTTTGTTCTTTGACTTGTAACATCATTGACGCGTCGTTCTTGAACGCTACGAAGTCGTTACCGACGTCATCATTTTCTCGTTTTCTTGCATCCTCCTTCAGTTCGAAGTCTCTTACCTGTTTCTGGATCATTTCTACAATGTTTAACATTGGCTCATGGATATCCCTCCACCAGAGTTCGTCTGAGTTTAGACTTGAAAAAGAATTAGATTTTCGCTCCAATCCAGAGGTCCCATTACGTTCCCTGCGGCATTCCACATCAACTTGCTTTCTTCGCTCTAATCCAGGGGTCCCATAATCTTCCCTGTGGCATTCCACACAACCCTGCTTAAGGTGAAGTTTGCATTCTCTACCCTTATCTTCCTGGCTTTCACCTTTGTTGTCTAGGGTGTCTTGAGGAACCTGTGCATGAGTTGGAGACAAGCGTCTACATAGCACGTACTCACCAAGAACACTAACTTGCTTACAACCAAAGTCGTTCTTTCTTTCCGAGTTTACAGTTTGTTTCGTTCGAGAATTCGTTCTGATCCTCAGAAATGGAGAGGTAGGAAGGCTTCGAAAAGTTTTAATTCTCGATATTCTTCGGTAAAGATCAGAAGAACTTTTTGAACCTGTTACCACCGCAGTCGGAGGCTCTAGCTGTGAGGAATGAGGGAAATTACTTGGAAGTGACTTCTTTCTTGAGAAAATCTTGCTTTTAAGGCTCATAGCTGCTTAGACTAAGGGCAAACGACTGATAATCGTGTTCGTTACTTTAATTATATATTGCACAACGATTAAGAACCAAAGTAGTTTTGTTATTTTGTCGTCATGGCAATGACCAATTAAAACGCCCTTACGGTGGCCAATCGTAATCCAAGACTACGTTACCATAGAAACTAACCAAACAAATATTTTATTTATATGTTTAAATTGTTTCCTTAGTAACGAATACATCAAATAAACCTCATACTTATTCTTAGACTCAACTAATCAACAGATTTTTTTAATCTTTTGGTTTACTATTTTTTGTTTTAGTTTTTGTTGGATATAGAAAGCTAAACTTTAAAGTAAATAGCACGCGCAGAATTGTACAATTTGTCGTCATGACAAATTAGGTTTAGGTGGATTGACGTCATATGAAGTGTCTTTCCATGACATGTCGGAAAACACAAAGTATTCAACAGCACGTACCTTTAAGATGGATGGATGGATGGATGGATGGATGGATGGATGGATGGATGGATGGATGGATGGATGGATGGATGGATGGATGGATGGATGAACTGGAATGAGCATGTTAATATTAGTAACACCGTGAAATTTGAAGGGCATACGTTTAAAACTCACGAAGTTTAATTTTTGTAAGAAGTAAGATGAGAATCTTTGCTGGCAGCAAACTCTTACCAACTAATGTTTCAATACAAGAGTTAAGAGTAAATAGATTTTAATGCTGTGTATTCCCTAACGTTTGGCGGATTTCTCTCAGCTTAAACTCTCTATTAACTCTAATCTAAATTCCTTTATCAAAAGCTAGTGCTATTAGTAAAGTCCATTCCCCCGTAGTGCCCAAGCGAGTCAACTCAAAACCCTTACGAAGGAGTCGAGGTAAGTGCCCTATCGTTATGACACCAAAGTAATAGATAGACATAAAGATATGCTTGGGCTTCCTGTGGTGTGTGAACCTCGAAAACTATAGAGCAGTTTTCGCATGACTGTGAAAAGCTCAGTGCAGTAAGCGTGCCAAGCCGTGACTGCGATGTTTTATAGAATTTTAATTGGCTGATTTCTTTTGTGCAATGTGATTGGTCTGGCAGTGCCGTGACCTTGGCGTGACCGTGTCTGCGCCGTGTTTATGCCGTATTCCGGGTGTTTGATTGTATAGACCAAATTCAAAACTCGCACCGATGTGAGGCTTAAGTTGTGAAAAAAGGAATCTGGCGTGATTCGTGACTTTTGAATCACGCCAGATTACTTTGAGTCACGCCAGATCCCTTTGTTCACAACTTAAGCCTCACATCGGTGAGAGTTTTGAATTTGGTCTATGGAACCGTAAATTCTCGAGCAATATGATTGGTCTGGCGTATGCCTTCCCGTGTCACAACTGGTTTGTGCCGTAAGCTTTTCACAGTCATACGAAAACTGCTTTAAGAAATAATTTACTTTTATAGCATGGTTTAAGTACTGCATCGTACCTTGAACAATATCTCCATACTTTAATAAATAAGCTGATCGCAGCTGTTCTTGGCGTAACCTGTTTTAAATATTAACGAGAGTGTTAACGTTCAAAATACTGACCAAGGGACAAGGTCAAAACAATGGTCCAAAATAGCGACACGTTTTTAGTTAGATGGTGAGTATCAGTAAATAATCCCCCTCCCTACCCCTCCCTCCCCCTCTCCGACCCCTCAGAGGCGTTGCCCGAAAAAAAAGACAGGATTTAGTCGTCAGACGAGAATGAACACTGTACTCACCTCAAAAGTTCTTGGCTTCCAATTTTCTCTATTTTTTCCCCATTATTCCAGACAGAAATTACGCCTAGTGACATGAATGCCTATCAAAATAGATACTTATTGGTTAGAGGATGAGTTTTGTCAGCATAGCAAGTATAAAAGTGGACCAACAAGTGGCTGTTTGATGTGTTTTTTTCTTCTGTGCCACGAAGACTTTACTCCAGGTTCTCCGGTTTTCCTCCGAAAAAATTAACGTTGACTTGAGTTTGTTGTACTGTCTCCCTTTTCTCCCTTAGTAACAATCTAAATGCGAGTTGAGGATTGCTCGTATAAGATATTGAAGATTAGTGCTAGCAAGTGTGAGTGGTTCAAATTTTAAATTAGGGCACCAAAATCTAGAAAGGAAAAAAATAAAACCGCGCAAAAAGCGACAATAAATACGCAAAAAAGAAAAAAGAAAAAAGAAATAAACCACCAAAACAAGAAAAAAAGGAAAAAAAAAGAAAAGAAGAAAAAAAAAAAACACGAAAGAAAAAGTCGTACTTTTTAACCATCTTTAAAAATAAACCTTTTAAAAACAGTACATGTCTCGCATTTCAGAACGATCCCCAAACACTTATAACGCTCAAGACATGAAAAACTGGTTTATAAAAAACAGGTTTTACCTGATTCCTTGCAAAAGGAACACTGGACACTGCTTCCCATGCCATGCAGTTCTGTTTACATCTGTGTAATAGGTTACAACTTGTGACGTGTAGCAGTCGACATGAATCACTTGGCTGGAATCAAAACCAAAACATTAATTATGAATTCAACGCTTTTGTTGAGTTTTTTCCACAACCTAACAACATGAATAAATATCATCTTCATATCAATTACCAAATGGGACATTTTCTATTACAATTATAGTTGATATTATTGTCATGGTATTTATGTATTCCAAGCCATCTAGAGTTATGTAATGAGCTACGTAGAGCTATGTAATGACTAGAGCAGAAGCTGCCTGTTTGATCACTCGAACATTAATGTTTTCCATTTCCATGTCTAGATTCTTTCTATATGCATTTCTATATGCATTGCCATTTCCATATCCATATCCATTTTTATATCCATTTTCAATTCCAAATCTATTTCTCATTTTCGTTTTAATTTTCATTGTAATCCAATGGAACAAGAGCCACTCTTTACAAGTAGAACCACTCTTAATTCCCAATTATTTATTTTCACTTTCATTTTCACTTTCATTTCCAAATCTAATTCTATTATCATTTTCATTGGAACCCCAGTGGAATGAGAGCCACTCTTTACAGGTTAATTCCCAATTATTTATTTAATTTCACTTTCATTTTACAGTACATTCCTTACTGTGTAGTTTTTAAGCCTAAAACTTTGCGAGAATCATAAAACTACCATAGTCATCATGTATGCATCTTATAACAAGACAAAGCATGATCCCTTATATGGTTAACAATGCCGTACCAGTCCTGCGCGGTTACTATATACAAAAAAAATATAAACAAGTCTTCTGTTTTTGCACTTATCTGGGGAATTCCTAACAGACTTGCTTTTCATAGTCATAGTATACGAGGGCTTCTTTAAACACTGTGTTTTGGAAATATCATTACGTCTGTAAATGAAAGTATTAAGAAGATTCTTACTTTGAATCTAACGGGTAACCGTAAGCTAGAAAACGATTCCTTGGTAAGCGAGACAAATCGTTGGATGAAGACTCCGTCGGTGGTATAAGGATTTGAACAGCTTTTATACGTGGTTTCATTTCATTCATATAATGCTTATAGTGGTTACCGTGTTTTCTATGCACTGCAAGTAATAAATGGACTCAATGCTTTTATTCCGTGAGTGAAGCATTGGAATACCTGAATTTTCCGGCTTGCCCAGACGAATAAACACAATCTCCAAAGCAGATATTGTCGAAGACAAAACGAACAAGGTAGGATTGCAACGTAAAGTTTTGTGCTTTATAGACGGTTCTTTAAGAAAAAGCCAAGATTTTCTTATTCTTTGGTCTTGTAAATAGCAATTCGCAATACTTATCGCTGTGGTAAATAATACCTTTTTCACAATTAGTGAAGTATGACAAAATAGACCATTTATTTGTTCTACACGCGTTTTGTCGCAGCTTCAGAGGCGCGAAACCGTTTGAGAAAAGGAGCTGATCACGACATTTTTGGATCCACCTAAAAACATCCTCCTTCCCTCTAGTAACGAACAGTATACTTAAAATTTTCAATCGAAAGACCCAAAATAGACCATTCATAGGTCATTCGCTTCCGTGGACTTCATGCTATGTTTGTCTTGTCTACGTTCTTCATGCATGTCTAATTACATCCCTTTCTTTAAAAAAAGGTAAATCTAAAACTTGTACCCATAAATTAAGGTTGCTAGGGCAACACCGCCTCCGCCATCTTTACATAGATAAAAATAAGTTGGTGATAGGATTCATTGTTTTTAGCTTTTTAGCTTTTTTGCTGGCAAGAGGTATTATAAGCATTGAAGAATGATTCCCGTACATTTTTTCTTGCTATGAAGTGAAAATATATGACTTAGTACCGAACAGTGTCGTCAAAGCTTTCAAAAATAATGTGCCTGCATGAGAATCAAAAGATAACCATTCGACAGACGAAATGTAATACTATTTCTTCGCGTGTCGAATTTCTTATTTCTAGGTCATGGCCGACAACAAAGCAATGGGCACCTACAAACCATTCGCAAAGCTGGACCAATTCTTAAAACAAATATCGAACGCTGATTCCTCCTCAGCATCTCCCATCCTCCATCGCTTAGCCAGTGAAGGGAACGAGGTTGAGCTCATTCACATGATCAACAACGGAAGCGACGTCAACGAGGAGGACGCTGACGGGCTCACAGCTCTTTATCATGCTACAGACAGAGGACACGCAAACGTTATAGAAATCTTATTACACAGTGGTGCACAGATCAGTGGAAAATCTAGCCCTTTGCTCGTTGCTCGAGATTTGAAGTCTGCCCAATTACTCTTACTAGCTAAGGCAAACCTGAATGCCCGAGATGAATTTGGAAACTCTCCATTACAAACAGCAATAAGGAATGCAAATCCAGAAATTGTAGAATATTTCTTGTCAGTTGGTGCAGATATTTTTTGTACCAATGCAAAAGGAGAGACCCCACTACACACACTCTGTTCGTCAATCATGATAAACCCAGACAACGAAACCTTAACTCGAAAACTGATTGAAATGGGAGCGAATGTTAATTCGAAAGATTCCCAGGGTAGGTCGCCATTAYATTTKGCTGTCGAGAACYATTACCTCKGGAAARGCAAAACGGTRGATATTCTAATAAAGGCCGGGGCATCTGTCACAGATGTAGATTTGCGGGGAATGAATCCAATACATCATTTTATCGACRAGTRCAGATCMTATTTAGAAGGATATAACAAGGTCTTCTCAGAATATATCAACCTTCTAGTCGTTAATGACAGTGTAGCTAACTCCAAGAATGCCATTGGTCAAACAATCTTGCATTTAGCAATACTCGCTGAAGCACCATTGCAAAGTTTGGAATACCTTGTAGAGAAAGGATGTAGACCCAATACCGTAGACAGTCAAAGACGCTGCTTACTACACTACATCGTAGAACGAGATTTAGATGACGTTGTGGATATTTTACATTTCTTMCTGGACAAGGGCCTTAATGTCAATTGCCCTGATATATGGGGACAGACAGCCTTGCATCATGCGGTCGAGAAGAATAAAAAGAAACTCGTCAAAGCTTTGGTTGAACGTGGAGCGGACGTGAACGCGAAAGACTTAGTAGACAGACAACCATTRCATATTGCWGCGGAGARCGGTWGGRACGTCATGTGCGAYTTCCTAATCAAWATGGGGGCAAATATCAACGCATTAGACAAATATCAGTCCACACCGCTCCATTTTGCAGCATGGAGTAACAAGGCTTCTGTTGCACATGTTTTAATCGAAGCCGCAGGGTGTGATGCTGAACTTCGCGATGCGTGTGGACAAACGGCGGAAGAGGTGGCGAAATTTTGGTCTAGTCTCGATTTTCTGCAGATAATCCACGAAAAAGATGGAAATAATAACCTTGAATCGGAACAGCGAAACAAATTGTTTACAAAACATGGTGGCGAGTTATTGGAGCTTAAAACGTTTCAAGACATCATCGATTCAAGTGAAGAATCGCTAGGAACGTCAGGGACTTTGAATGAATTTTTAAGCTGCCTTCTTTCCACACCGGGAATAGGCACAGTTTTTGGAGATCCGGAAGCGGAAGAAATCAGGGACGTTTTAGACAGATTTGCTGCCAATATTGTAAAACGTATAGCTGATAATCATCCAAAAATGCGCTGTACTCTGTACCGGGGAGGTAGTTCGTCAGAAGGAACCAAGACTAAATATCCAGATGAGTTTGATTATGTTGTGTGCTTCGATGAACTAAGTGACAACGTATATTCAAAGCATAAAACCGAGGACGTTCTCGAAAGCGTGCAGCTGGTTTCAGATATAAAAGAAACAAACAATAATGTAAAAGACACTTCAACATCAGTGTCAAATTATACTCGAATCGTGCTGAAGGATCGCACAAGTTACGAGTACTCAGAGTTTACTTTACTACAACCGAACTGGATTTCAAATTACTTGATGCTTCATTTATTCACACAGCAACTATCCAATATCGTTTACGATGAAAGCTTCCCAAAAGATGAACGTTTGGTGATAAAAGACGTCACCCTCGACCCTAAGCTGTGCCTGTTGTGGAGAGGATCCAGATATAAATCTCTGGCGATTGAAGTTGATTTTGTCCCAGCAGTGCGCCTTCCATCTTGGCCAGACAAATTTCGAATCCACTCTCCAATCCTCAGTCCAGATCTTTTACAGCTTCCCTGCCTCGCTGTTCCGAAAATGACGAGTCAACAAGATGAGAGCCTTTGGAGGTGTTCTCTTTGTCTTGTCGAGACTGCTATTATGAAAAGGTGTCTTCGTCGAATACGAAATAGCTACATAGCTGCAAAGTCGCTGATCAACTCCGCTTTCATCTGCCCCCTTGTTAGCTTTGAGGATTACGAGGACACGAAGATGCATTACAAAAGTCTACATGATAGTGTTTCTTCGGATGAAGAATTTGAACTGTACGAACACGTCGAATGCATTATGCCATCATATATACTCAAAATGGCTTTCTTTCACTCCATAGAAGAAAAAGCAATTAAAGATGGAATGCAAACCGTCTTCGATGAATACAATCAATATACTCAACGGTCAGAGAGCGCGGCTTCTGATATTGCGACGTGCGAAGTTGAACCTGATCCAGAAATCGTTAAGGACATATTCATGAAATGCGATGATTGGCTTTCCAATGAATTTGTTCCATCGTTCTTTAACCCACGGCAAAATGTATTGGGATCAGGGATACTGGATGAAAATGGTGTTAGCAAAGCACAGATGTTTGTGAAGTATATTTTGAAACTTTTGAATGAAAAGTGTTGAGTTTTGATCAAAATTAGCTTCTTTGGTTTAGCAGAAGGTGGAAAACTGGAAAAACAGAAGAAAACCCTTGAAATCTATGAAGACACCCAAGGATCCAGGGATCAAACCCGATTCCCAAGAGATGACCACTGCCGTGGAATATTTGGCAAATTTTTCATTATAAAAAAAGCTAGATTGCAAGCTCAAGCACCATGACACTTTTAAAGGGTTAATACTGCTGATCGCTCGTCCCAGTCTTCCATTCCCCATTCCCTGTTTCAGTAACAACCCACCAACATGGCCGCGATGACGTAACGTGCATTCGAAGAATTTGTACTAATACCACTTAAGAGCACTAGAATCAATGTAAAAAATTAGCAAATTAAATGTTTACCACATCTTTAAACGTCTTACTGCATCATATCAGTAAATATTGATATCCAATGTAAATTAAAATTAATTATACAGCTTCTCATTAATCCCATATAGGTAACTGTCCAATTACTTTCTTAATTGGACAGGTCTTGTTGATATGGGATTAATTAGGCAGCTTTATAATTAATAGGTTATGGGATTTCATGCTCCCCAATCAAGAAATAATTAGACTCGAAAAATTCCTCTGACTGCCAAATTGGACTCGGCCTACGGCCTCATCCAATTTTGTCAGTCCTCGGAATTTTCCTCGTCCAATTATTTCTTAATTGGACAGCATGGAGTCCTATTACATATATTAATTAATTTGATCCAAACGGCCTTTTGAAATTGATTGATAAGCTTTAAAAAAAGATCGTCAAAAAATGAACCTTTTTTATTCGAAATAAGTTTCAATTTATCTTAAAGATTTAGATCTTGTTCTCGGCCATAAAACTAGTTTTCGATAAATTTACTGAGTTCATTATCAATATCCTCAAAACAAATTATCAGAAATAGCTAATCATACTTGAACAACTAGTTTCAAACAAATAGGGTAAAAAGTGCGTTTTTTCGCCAACAAATAATGAAAACTCGCTGTACAAAATTGGAGCTCATCACTTATAAACTAATTCTGGATAAATTTGCAGTGCTCATCTTATCAATGGGTCGCTGAAACAGCTGAAACAGCTGGAAGAACTGAAAGAGTTGAATTGTACTCAATTTATATATTTATACGCCTAATTCAAAAAACGTTGTTATCGCCAAAGGCGATAGGCAATAGGTCATTCCGACATGGAAATGGTTTCGTTGAATACAAAGAACATCGAATCAGTCTCA